ACTGAAAGCGAGGGAGGAAGTGAGATCCTTTTTCACTTCCTGGTGGTACACAGAACAACGGTGGTCTTACTGGTGCATAATCACAGGATTAGTGACCCATGACTTATTGCTGGTGCAAACCAATGTGGGCTAAACCCATGCTGTCCAGTGCGAGGCAATGTAGGCTAAGCCAACAGTACAAGCAGATCATGTCCAAACAAAGTAATTCAGAGTGAATGTGTTGAAGACTGGTTTAGATGTTTTTGAACGTGTGGTGTTGTACAGTATTTGACACTCTTTGCTGTGTTGTGTCCAGATTTAACATCATGAGGGGTAGGACTGCAACTAACCATTGTTTTCACGAAAGTGGCTAAAATCAATATTTTATAATAACACTGTATGTGCTCCTAGTGATGAACTTACAGAGAATTATCATCTGCATCTGACCCGCTCTCTGCTTTATAGTGAGTCTCAGCTCATTAGCTGTTCCCACAGTACACGACCTGCTGAGTAGCAGACCGACGCAGTTAGATAGTGGCCAGTAAACACAGTGGAGCATTTAGCAGTGAAGGAGACAGATATTTCCCTCAGGAGTTAGTGGAGACCAAAAACGGAGTTGAAAGAGAGTGAATATTGGACTAACATCTGGTGATCAGAAACACGACTCTAGATGAATGTTGCTAACAATCCAAAACCCTCAGATATTCAACCAACAATCAAAGACAAAGAAAGGCAGCATAGTCTCACAACGGAGAAGCTGTAAGTAGTGTTTGACTTTTTTCTTTTGCTTGAAATATTAATGAATAATAGTTAAAATTGTTGCAGCAAACTTAAGGACATAAAGATTCTCTAAAACAGGCAAGTATTTCTGCATTAAGCAGCTTTTCGGTTAAGAAAACCCTTGAATACACATTGTTCAGTCACTTTTCGTTGGAGCCGAGGCCCGTGCTGATTTTGCACCCTCTCTGCCAGCACATGATTATTTCGTCAGCCTCCCTGCGATGACACTACTTGTGTATGGGACCGAACTGGAGCAGTGCATTCCGCTCCACTTAAACCTGTCCATTACGATGTCCTGCAGTCTAATGCTATCGATGTCATGCTGCTCTGTCGTGGCAGCCCTTCACTTTTTTGTTCAGGCTTTTAAAATCACAGAAGCCATTAGGCAAGGATCATGTGATGCAGTACATCAGTGTTCCCCCTGTCATTCTCTCTATTAGTGCTGGTTGGTAGGGGGTCAAAGACCATTCCAGTTGTTCCTCACACATGCAGTTCTTGTTAATGAAACCACGATGGGAGCATTCACTGCAAATATCAGCTGTATACTTGTCAGCTTTTGGATAGAGGTGTTTCTTTTACAGTAATATAGTGATTAAGAATCAAAATAAGAGCGACCCACAAACCATTTACAGCTGAATTACAGACTGAATATTTTAAGTCGATCACAGAAAATGTATTTGAGCAGCGGTATGCTTCAGGGTACAAAGAGGAAGCCCTGCTCAATATGAAACAACTGAACTTAATCATGAACACAGGAGAACGTGCACTTCTGAGACACAGATGTGTGAAACATTTAAAGTAAACAATGTTGTAGACGGTGGAGGTTCAGATTAGGTTTTTGTGAAGACCGTTTCTGTGTGAGATTATGCTTGAAGCTTTCTAATAGCTGAGAAACGTTTGCCTATAAGGTAGTCGTTGGAAGACAAAGGGTAGTGGGCTGCAGTTTCTTGATTCAAAGCAACTGACAACCAAGCACAGCATGAGCAAATCGTTACTGAGGCGAATATACAGAGAACTGGCTGTCTAGTGTTACTGGCAGTGTTTTTAATGACAGCAGAAAGCCCTGAACCAAGAGAATATACACTACAGACCCCGGGACCTAAGTTCATAAAAACGCTGCATTAGCCAATACCTTTTTTTTCTGCTTTTCTGTCTCTGTGAATCACACTCTAACTTACTAATTGCCATGTTACTCCTCTCACTGCCCTCTTAGGTTGGATAGGTTTGTGTGGTTGACCATCTTTCATGGCAACTCTCCCCTGTCCCCTCTGGGTTTTTCTGTAAATTAGGGGTTGTTGCATTTTAAGGATAAACGCTGGTAGTAGTTTCATGCCGTGCTGCATTTAAAAGCCTGCGTCTTTGCTCTGAGAGACATTTTCCCATGCAGCATACTTCTGTGTTTAAAATGAATACACTTCCACTTAGGCATTGCACAAGTATTTAGACTTTTCAATAGCATTCTTTATGTGTGACATGCCACTCTGGTTAAGCAACTCTGAAAAATAATTTCATACTCGGATTTAAATATTTGCTACTTGAGTGGAAAACGTCTTGATGTCAAATACCATAGGGGGGGAAGTACTAATTCTTGTGTTTAGAAAATGTCCCAGAGATCAGCATGATCAGTTCTTCCTACAGACCGCACAATACAGCCTGGAATAGGTAGGAGTGGGTTTGTTTTGCTGCTGTTTCCGGATCATGAAGGTACTCAATTACAGCAGCAGGTTCCGCCCTTCCTCATGTCCACACAACATGATAAGAAGATAACTACTTTGTAACTTGTTGAATTATATTAACAAACAATTCTCCAAGTTCCTTTTACATTTTCTTGGAGGATTTTGTTAAAACTCGGACAGCAGAAAAAGGAGTACATTCATATGTAGATGCATATTTCTTTCCGTTTTCTTCAGTTATGCCTCAGTTTTGTATTTGCATCTTTCTCCATCTCTAAAGTATACCTATTTTTGTAGTATTTGCTTGCTTCAGTGCCACATGACTGGCTGTATGAAAATCATGAGACTTTTTAAACCAGCATGCTGGGAGGAAATTCAGCTCACCTCTGTGAAAACGAGGAATCCTAAACACTACACCATGTGGGATATGTCCTCTTTATAGCTTTAGTTATCTCCCGCTGTGTCATGTTCCACTTCACATCAATCATAGCTACAGAAAGAGACATGTTCTCTGACTTCTCTGTTACACTTTGACTTACACCCATAGTACCTTTTATTACAGGATTTGCTCCGCAACACAAGGTTTTCCCATTAATAATACTTTAGCAGAGGCGGAGAGACATGCCTGTATGCACATTTTTTGTGTTCATTTTATTTAAGAATAAAAGTACAGTGTCTGAAAAGTGCGCTGTGTTTCCTTGTAAACAAATATTTAGTGTTTCTCACCAAAACGTTTGTGTATCCTTGAACCTTAACAAACGTGTTAAATGCATATTTTTCCTCCATACAACTTTTGCAAAGCCAATTTTTTTTTTATTTTTTATATTTATATGTTTGCGTGCTGGCTTCTTCTTTGTTGGCGCATTGCTACGCTTAGACATCATTGCCAGCCATCAACTGTCAATCAGTTGATTAGCGTGAAACCGGCTGCATGAGTGTGTAGCACATTGCCTGCTGCACATGTGCATGCCTCCTTTGTGCGTGTGCATGATACAAACAAAACTGAGACTCACTAGGGAACACATTGTTCCACAGCGCTGCTTGTGGTCAAAAACTCCACAGGGTGTAGGCCTACTTCCCAACGAAACATAAGCAAATAGACAAAACCCCAGCAAATGCTGGAAGCCAACAGTTTCTGGGGTATACTGTCGAGCATGCTAGTAAAAAGTGAAGGGCTACTGCTCGGTGTATTTCCAGTATCTTCAATAAAACAGGAATTATGCAATCAGACTGTTAAAATTCACACATTAACTCAAATCTCCCAGTGTGTTGCTGACATTCTTACCACTGTTGCATGTGCTCCACAGCAACGTTTTCCCTGATCTTGCATTTATTTTGTAGTAACTCTAAACTGGTATTGGATATTTTTGGAAATACTTGGTGAAGTATGCTCATCACAGACACGGAGAGGCACCTGGCCGATTCATATATCTTTTTCACATGTCTGCGTCGGTGCTCTGGGTGTTTTTTTTTATATCCAATCTGTTATTTCCAGTCTGTCGGAGAACTTCCTCGTCTTACACCACCTCCTAAATAGTATCGCCTCCCGCTTTAGTGCTTTGAAGCGTTGGATCACAAAGAGTGTGTGTAGGTTTACAACAATCTTCCAGTGCTCCTTGCCAAAAAACCAAGAATATTTCTCTGCTCTGTCAACATTTTTTATAAAATTTTTAGTTTAAAAAACACCGCAACAATTTAGTATTTTTAATTGACACACTGGTCCACAGTAAGGCATCTGTGGCTCAGGCTGCAGAGCTCAGTGGTCATCCTAGCTGTTTCAATGACAGAAGGGATTTTCATAGCCCAGCAATTTTCCACCAGCTGTGCAAAATGTATTGCAGTGATTGCATTTGGGTGTTTGCCACAGAGGCTATTTACACCATGTATCGCTATGTCGGCGTATTGCTCTCTCTGAAAATAGAGTACAGTTTGCCGAAGTTTGAAGTATTTCTGGAGTCAGAGAGTTCACCGCTCTTCTCACGGTTGGGTCAGTAGGCTATCGGGTCAAATCTAATACTGTGCTGCATCCTAATATGCACAGATGGTTGCCGGGAGAGCTGACTGATGAACTTGTGCTGCCAAAATGTTTGGGGGATGCACAGGTTTTGTTCTGCCCCCTTACTCCGTTATCAAGTTAAGGAAATAAATTTACAACATGCTCTTTTAACAACCATTTCTTTAAACACATTTTCCTTCAAATGAGTAGCTACTTCTTTCCTAATTTGATATTCCTGATTGTGGTTTAATATAATTTGCGTCCACTGTCCTTTTTACATGGTTATTGTAAATGTGTTTTAATAATGTAATTTTGTTTTTTCTCTCAGAGGTAAATGTTGTGGACAGCTCTCAACGCTTACTGCAGAGTAAAATGTCTTAATGTATCTGTTAATGTCTGGCGGTGATCATTGTTGGGAAGGTATACATTATTATTAGTTATAAATTAAATGACTATTACATTCTTTCTTAGAATTAAAACCATGGATACATACATAACACCAATGTCTCGATGATGATGATGTTTTTTTTTTTTTGTCTTTCTCTCCCTTTTTTACAAATCGTCCCTTTTAGGTCAATGAGTGGAACAAAAACGACGAGCGCCTGCTTGCTGCGGTGGAGCATGGCGAGGTGGAGAAGGTGGCATCACTTCTTGCCAAGAAAGGTGCCAGCGCTGTGAAACTGGACGGCGAGGGCAAATCAGCGTAAGCATTCTTACTATTATCTACAAAAGAACAAAGGAAAATGTGGTACAGATGATGCAATCAAGGAAATGAACTTTGTTAGCACAGAGACAATAGTCCGCTGTGGCTTTTGTAGGACGCGGACTGTACGAGCATGAGGAAAGCAGCTTCAATCAAAAATGAAAGGCAATTTGATTCAGATCTGCTACACAAACATCAGTGTGGAATGAAATGTCCAGTCTCTCCAGCTTACAGCCTGGTTTAGTAATATCTGACAATAAGTGCAGGTTTTCAGGTGCAATCTGGGACTTAGCTCACGCTTTAATAACAAATGTGTGATAAGAAATAGTGTGATTGTGGTCAAATAAAAAAGGGGCGTATTCAATTTTAGGCAAACACTACCAGTCTTGGTGATTTCTGTGTTTTCCTTTTTAAGTTTTAGGATTGCATATGCCTCCAGCCGATGCTGAAAATCTCAAGTCTTGGGCTTATGTAACTACTTTTCCGTTTCACAGCACTATGTTAAAAATGAATGGCCAATCTAAAAATGCAGTGGTTTTTCTTAGTTCCTGAAAGGTTGACATTTTCAAACATTAATTCAGCCTCTCCGGACATTCAGTGTTTTGCGAGCCAGTTCATTTCTGCCGAAGCCGTGAGGCTCGTTGCCTCACCAGTCGAGATTGTTGATAACCACATTGGCTCAGCGTTAATATTTTACCTCTTTTCTTTTTCTGAAACAAAACACCCGCTGGCCTCAATGTGTTGAGTTACTCATGCGGTGCCAGGAACACCAAAACACAAGAACAAATGCAAGGAGAAACGAATGTGCAGATTCTTACATGCTGAAACACACAGGTTTTATTTTTGTCCCATCAGTAGTTCACATCCTTGACCTTTTCTCTGTTTGTGTGTGTGTGTGTGTGTGTGTGTGTGTGTGTGTGTGTGTGTGTGTGTGTGTGTGTGTGTGACTAGAACGCAGAAACACACATACAGATGCATCCTCACAGCCTTTGCAAATCACGATGAATGCGGTAGTTTGGGATCTCAGCGCTCTGATCTTTTCAGGACGCACAAAGGAGGAGTCTACAGTATCTCTATAGTGATAACACCTGATAGAAAGGCATGTGGGTGTAGTTGTGTGAGAGTGTGTGAGTGTGTATCAAGTACACACAAACGCCAAAAGGAAAGCTGGGCATGTGTAGTGTTTTTTTCATTCTGCTCGCTGAGCTGGAAAGGGCTTGTATTGATTGCCTACTGCACACAAAAGCACAAACGGACAATAAGGTGTAAGAATTAAGAGTTGTGGTTTTACAGTCTGCTGTATGAGCATGTAGATGCCACCATTTTGCAAGGGAGCAGTTTTCAAGTTAAAGTTCCCACGTCATGAGATATTTAATGTTACTCTGAAGCTTGCAAATATGTAAAATGGCTGTCGTATATAAAAAAATCTCTGCTGTCATAAATGTTATGACTGGTAGTTACTGCGATTCCAAGTTGTTCTCTGCTTGGGGTTTGTCTCCAGTCTTCATGCGGCAGCTGGACGAGGACAGACAGACTGCCTATCTGTCATCCTGGCCCATGGAGCTGACCTGTCAATCACTGATGCTGCAGGTATGTACTGTAGTTTTATTCAGTATTGATAGAACATATGGGGGGATTGATTAGAATCTGGATTTCTGGACAAATGCAATCATTTTTTTCAACAAATCCTGTAAATAGAAAAGTTGTGTCCACATACTTTTTAGCGCCACTTCTAAGATTCTTTCCTGAGGTCGTCTTCTTTTTAATTGTATCCAATTTGTCACAAAAGTCTTTGGCCTAATGAAGTTCTTAACTTTGGTCTTTCTTGATTTCTGGTCAGGTTTCAATCCGTTACACCTGGCAGCCAAAAACAATCACACCGAGTGCTGCAAAAAGCTCATTCAGGTAAGGTGAAGGAGGCTTAAAATTGCAATGTCATAATGAGTGCCCTGAAAATAATGCGACAATTTGCTGCCATCTATCAAGCCATTATATTTTACACACAAAATGCTTCCACCGTGATAAGATACTACGTGTTTTTTTATTTATTTAATATATTTACCACTTCCAATAAATAATGCTATTTTTCCTAAAACCTGTAGCGGGTCAACAATGGAGAAAGAAGAACAAAAACAAATACAATATGAAATGCAGCCACGTGATATTTTGAGTGTTGGGAATTAGCTGGACAGATTTCATGTTTTAGAAAGTCATTCAGGGAAACTGTATGGATTTAATAATCAAACTTTTCTTTCACAGTCATTCATACGTCATGTGCATTTACACGTCTAATAATATCTTTCTGTTTGCCCTCCAGAGTAAATGCCCCATCGATGCTGTAGACGGTTCAGGAAAGGCTGCTCTGCATCACGCTGGTAAGTGTCTCAGTGCCCCAAGGGTTAATCAAACCAAAGTGCTTTTATTGAAGATTAGTCTGCTTAGACAAGGACGTGGGAAAATGTCTTGTGAGATTAAGTTAAAGCTCTTGATTTTAGTCGGATGAAATTTGCTGCCATATTTGGAATTAGGTGATTAAATGTGATTCCAGCCCAGTTAGTTTCAATCAAAATTTCCCATAATACTCTTGCAGGTTTTTATTCAAACACTGTGTTAGTGATGGGAAGATTCTCACAGACCTCATCATTTCTTCATGAAGCTGCAACTTTCTGTCTCTAAAAACAAACACTTGGAGAGTATGACAGATTGTTGACAACTGTTAAAATCAATAATTGGATTGGTTTGTCAATGTTGCACTTTTAGATGGCTTACGAGTGTCATGTGTTGCAACATAAACCAATCACATTTGTTCTTTTGGAAATTAGAGAGGGGAGCCGATGAGATACATTTCTCCCTAAACTAAATCCTAGACCTAACTAATCTAGACCACACTGCTATCTCTGAACACCTTTGTCCTTTTTTTTGTGATCAACCTTTTTATTTAATTTGTCACATAAACATCGTTGCACACGAGGTACCATAGACAAGGATTCCTGCACATACAAACAGTAATTAACACAAACTATATACAGTACTTATCACCCTTGCCTTGCAAAATAAATAAATAACATTAAAAGATATATAAAAATGTAAATTTAAAAGAAAGTGCTTCTTCATTTCTGACTTTTTTTTATTTGATCTTCAGCTGCCAGTGGGAACATCCAGACCGTCCAACTGCTGTGTGAACTCAAAAGTCCCATCAACCTGAAAGATGCCGTATGTACTTGGATTATTACTTCCACTTTCTTTCTTTCTCAGAATTTGTTTTCCTGGCAGGGTAGTAAGGGGCCACATAAATGCTCCATTCAGTGTCATTCATATCATTTTCTTCTGTGTAATTTCCAGAGAGGAATTTGCTCTCGGAAGATTGATCACTGTTTGGATTTTCGTAAATATTTACCTGTCTTATTGGTCCTGTGTTTGCAATAGGATGCTTTTTTATTTTCTGTCCCAACATTTCATCTCCCCAGCTGTAGTTTGTTCTGCGTCCCTTTATGTGCTTATTAATGTGTGTCAAGAGAGCAGAGGTAAAACAATATTGTTTTGAATTGGCTTCAGCTGTCTCTCACAGCTGTTCATCTATAATATGAAGGATCCTCGTTTGTCCTTCTCCGTTTAATGATTGATTAATGTACATTGTGTGTGCATGTATGGATGTGTGTGAGGTAAGGGGTCAGTTTACTGTGGGAACTCTGCTCTCAAGCCGCAGACATGTGGTCTCCATTGCAGTGACGCTCCATGCCTGTGGTTTTTACCCAACTGTTGTGTAATATTTTGTGTGTGTGTGTGTGTGTGTGTGTGTGTGTGTGTGTGTGTGTGTGTAATAGAAAAAGAGGGAAAAGAAATGGAGAACAGAATGTGTTGCCCATTTATTTCCCTTTTTATTATCATGCCACAGCTGGCCTGTTGGACATAAACACGCACAGAGTGGTCTCTTAGCCGACTAAAAGGCGTTATGTTTATTTCTCAAGATCCCCATGTATTTCCTCAAGTTGTATGTTGTGACTTTTAAACATTTTTCATGCTCTCACTTTATACCCCTGGCTGCAACGGTTTTAAAGTGTAGTGTTTATGAAATCCTGTTACAATTAGAGCACTTTAAATATTACTTGTTAAGCAAAATGCTGCATTGCGTGTACCATTAGGAAACCCTAACCTGCATGATCAACTGACGCATTCCACTCAAAATGTGTCATCAAAGCGTACATTCATGTGTGCTTACGCAAACCACGTTTTGTAAGACGGTGCTTTAGAGCGGTTTTCCGATGACAGGAAGATAAAATGTGGTCATTTACTTCTCCAGCCATCAACATCTGTGAGATGTGAGCGGCTCTGTTTGCTGTTAGAGGACATAAAGACTGAGGGACCACAAAGTCGTCTGGAACATATTGCTGTTTGTGTTCTGAGCAGAACATGCCAGCTAGCTTCAGGCATACGTCATGGCTGTAACGAACGCCTTTACCTGATCTATATTTGATTTAAATAAACAAGCAAGATATGGAAAGAAACGGAGGAACATCTGCCCGGTCTCTCATATGTCGGACATAGAATGTTTATAGAAAATCAAGTAAATGTAAACTTAAATTCTGTTCTGAGACAGTGGTACGATGTAGTGTAAATGCTTCCTCATGTTTTCAGTTGGAAAGAAATATATTTCTCTGTTACTTTTAAAGAAAGTCGGCCTTGACACAATTCACAGATGTGGCCTGGTAATTGTTTGGCATCGATGCGTTAGGTTTGAGTGGGTCAAAGAATCTTGGAAGACTACAAAATAATTTTTTGCTCCAGCAGAATGTAGTCATCACAATACTTGATGTTTGAGGCTGATACTGATATCGATATTTAGGAGTTTACAAAATCCCATAAAGATATGTCTACCAATAGTAATGTCTGTTAAATGTATACAATAAACACAACATAAGCATGTTCATATCTGCAATAAGCTAATATTGGCCGATTTTATTGGCCTGGACAATATCCGTGTAGCTCTACTAAAGAGTGTTGAATGTATATGACCGAATTGAAGAAGTCCGAATATGAAACCATCTATGAATTCACATGATATACCTTCATCACATTTTAGTGTACAGTGAAAGCACTAATCAAAATGTTAGCGATCATGTTAGCTCAGCAGTTCATGTCATGTAGCTCAGACAGAACATCGTAATAAAAGTAAAGCTCAGTGGGAGTTGCTTTCATTGTTTGTTAATAACAGTTTGCAGTGTTCTGTAGTCAGATTGTGAATCATAGCCTTCAGACTTCTACAAGACAAAATGACAGTCTGCATGTATATTATAGGTTTTATGTGGACATCCACATACCAGGAAGTAGTTTGGTGAGTGATTCATTACTTTCCCCCAGTACTGAAACACAAGTTTATTCGGATAGAACTTTTAGCAATGATTCCCAACCTAGGAGTGAGGACCTTGTACAGCTTTGCGACACAGGATAGGAAATTATACGCAAAACTATAAATATTTTTCCCCAATCTTTCGTTTTCTATGGATAGTATTATCGCTTCAGGCCTCTGTAATTATTGAAATGAATCTGATCACTTTTTGTTTCAACAGTTCACAGCTCACGGACATGAGCAACATGAGGAGGGGTCACAAATAGACATTGCTTCTATTTGCAGGGTTGCATGCTAAAAAGGTTGGGTTCATAGTATCCCGTCCGTCACATGTTGTACTTGTGAAATATTAATTCACAAGGCTGTTAAAACACAGACATGTGCTAGTGTATGTGCAGTATCTGTGTCCACATCAAGTGGCATTCACCACAGAGAGTTGTGTTTATTATGAAGGCGTGTATTAAGCTTTAAACAGGGGCATGTCTGTGTGCCTTTTTCTTTGATTGACAGGCCTCTCAAATTATCACATTTAGCCACGGTTGCAGCTCTACGTCAGCTCCACCAAGTCTTTACCTTGTTGCCCATATTTGGTATCCTGGCTTTAAACTGACAAGATGGCAACAAGTTGTAAACATAACTCAAGTGTAGACAAACATTTACACACCTGTGTTCTCACATTCATCCACACAGACCCTGAATCTATTACCCTGCGGTGAAAAACATATTTCTGTCTTTTTTTTCGATTCCAAAAAAGAAACCGTTCAGCAGAAACACAGACTGAGCAGAGCAGACACGGGGCTGTTAAAGTCTTTAGCAGAGCTCAGAGGAACCCACAACATAGTTTTGTTCTCTGTGGTGTGTCGAAGCAGCAGCCTTGTAATATAAAACACAAAGCTAGGCTGACACACTTTACCGTTTCTTCACAGTCTTCTGCTTTTTTCCAGTTGGACATGACTTCGGATTTTTTTTCCCCTTCGTTTAATATATATGAACTGTGGGAATTTATATTGATACAGTTAAACATTGAGTTCTAATGTCATCTCAGTGGAGATGATGTGGCAGCAGCTCCTTCCAGGCTGTACTCTGCCCTCCACAAGCCCAGCCAATCAAATGTTTTGGTTAGATTTAGGTCATAGATGGTTAGGTTAAATGTCATGCTTGGGGTTTAGGATCAGTCAATCCTGGTGACAAATATGGGATTGCGTTGCATAAAATACTGCCTCAGTTTCCCAACACAAGGTAATAAACTCTGCTGAGTCAGCCCCTTCAGTTAGAACTGTAAATATATCATTTTCGGGATTTTCCCAAAAAATCTACGCCTTCTCCAGAAACTGGAACAACTTTGGCTTTGTTTATCTGCTGGGAAATTCATTTAGGAAACATCCACTCCCTTTTTCACATGGATCTGAGATTTATCTCACCCCACAGACACTTGCCATACTTCATGTCCAGGCCCACGAACTGATGTCACAAGAGATAAATTATGTAGGTGTGTGTGTGTGCGTGCGTGTGTGCGTGCGTGCGTGTGTGTGTGTGTGTGTGTGTGTGTGTGTGTGTGTGTGTGTGTGAGTGAGTGTGTTATGGTGGATTGTGGTCCCTCCACAGGATGATTTCAGTCTTATCTAATGTGTATACTGTCTGTTTGTTCCAAAGGACGGACTCACCCCTTTGCTGTTGTCAGCCAAACACTCTCATGCTGAGGTGTGCAGCGCTTTGCTGGACTGCGGTGCTGAAATCAACACTTCTGACAACAGTGGCAGGTACAAAGTCAAGACACACGGAAAATTCAGAAATGATGTGCGACAGTAGTGATGACTAATTAAAGTTGATAAATTTGACATTCAGAGCATTAATATAGCAGCAAAAGGCTACTTGCAATGTAAAGATACGGTGGAGTAATGTCTACCTAATCAGAGAATTAAGTCACTCTTCCTTTGTGTGTGTTGTAATCAGAGCTTCTGTGCATTGTTATAGTAGCCGGTCCAGCCACTCGTGCATTTTGAGCCCCAGCGTGTGTGAACCACTGACTAGCTAATTGCAGCTGCTCTGCACTGAGCTTATACGGTGGTTACCGCTGATAACCACCGTATCCACGCCATTGTCCCGGAAGCATATCACCCACCCTCGGGTTCTTCCTCTGGTTTACTCTGTCAGCACTGTTTTCTTTGTTTGTGCTGTTCGCACCGTTAGCTGCTAGCCGCTGGCTCAGCTTAAAATTGAGAGCCGTGTGGAAGCAATCCCTCAATCATAGATATGCTCTGAATTTTGAATTTAGCACTTTAAAGACACGTTTTGGATGTATTCTGTGTTGCAGGACAGCCTTGATGCTGGCTAGCGAGTCAAACGCCGTTTCTGTTGTTGAAGTCTTGGTTCAGCGAGGAGCAGATCTGTCGGCTGTAGATTCACAAGGCCATGACGTCGAACACTACACCAAGCTGCTGGGCAACTCTGAGGTCAAAACCGCCCTCAATGCTGCCGTAAACAGACAACCGGCCTCTGGTAAGAGGGTGGAGGCAGCAGAAGCAAATATTGATGTGTATTTATATTATTGTGACAATCTTTTGCCTTATACACACACACACACTTTTGGAGTTATTGTATTCAGGTTGAGGAAAAGAACACCAGGCAACAGCCTCAACATGTGGTTATGAAACAGTAAATGAAGTTGTCTGGTGAAATCGGGGAGGGACTTCTCTTATTAGGTAGACATTTAATGGTTGAACTTGTGAGGACCACAAAATGTATCAGGTCTGGGTGGTAGAGATTTGTGCTGCTCTGGTTTCAAAGTCAACACTGCCATCTGGAGGAGATCTCTCAGTAATGTTTTTCTTTTTTTTTTTGTATATGTTTGGTGTAAGCTTCTCTCTATGAAAGCAATGTCACACGTAGTAGAAAATGTATCCAAAGAAAAAGCTATAATTACCACTTCTATTTGATTCTGCTTTTTTTTTTTTTTTTTAATGTTCTTGTCATTTTTTTAACAGATACAAAGTCTCCTAGAAGTCCTCAGGTAACACACACTTTATTAAAAATACTTTTCTTTAGAGCTTCTCACAAACAGGCAATCGCAGTTACTAAAACATCTGAATTTAAAACATCCATAAACTAGCAATAGTCTAAATTAGGTTTTAGTACTATTATGTGATTCATAATGAAAAAGAGCTGAAGCCAAATTGTATCTAATTTCTGTTGTGTAGCTACAACTCATAGATTGTAGTTTAGTATCAGCTTTTCTTATGTGTCGATATTACTTATTTCTCAGCTTGTAGAAAATCCCTTACTTGCTATTTCGGGAAAACAAAACTGAAGTTTTACTGTAGCTCTCGTCGATTGACCCTCCTCTTACTAACCAGCACTGAATCCCTCCTTTTTCTCTTTCCTTTGCCTTTCTTCTCTTTTCTCTTTGCTGGCTCCTCAGCATGATCAAGTAGCTAAACTAAGTGATGAACGGATCACAACTCCCAAAAAACGAAAAGCACCTCCACCTCCTATTAGCCCACTGCAGGTAAAAGCATGTCTCTCTTTGTATCTGTCTGCTTGTATCAGTATGCCACTCTTTATATTAATGCATGTCTGCAGTATATTCACAGAATGAGTAGTCAGAGCTGTATGTGTCTGGTCTGTAGACCCATCACAATTATTAGCTCACTGGCTTATTGTACGATATTGCAGGTTGTTTTTGCATGAATGTTGTTTTTTCAAAAGAATGTCACCGAGATTTTAGCAAACATGATGCCAGAATATTCTGCAGGGTTTTTCCCTTCTATTATAAGATTTGGGCATTACGCAGACATTGCACATTTTTTGTGGACAGAGCCCGGTAGTCCAAGTTATTTATGGTTTGGTTGTGTGGTTTTATTTTTTATGTTTTATTTATTTAGGACATTTTTAAATCTGTACATGCATTATTATGCTATATAATTATTATATTAGTAGCATAAAATTATCTTAAAATTACAAAAATATATTTTACTGCAATTATTTCTGGGACAATATATCCAAAAAAAGAGTTAGTGACCAGCCTACTCGTCTATCATAGTATCTGTTATGTTACTGTTCTCTCTGTCAGTCAGTCTCTCATTAGTTTATGGTTTGCCAAAGGATAACACAGTTTTTATAACATGTATGATGTTCATTTAATTGATGTACTAATCTGCCTTTTGTTTTCAAAAGTTTAGGATTTAAAACTGTTCTTCATACAAACATCCAGGGCACCTCATTGTTTTAATGGGACACTGACATTTGAATCGTATTCCTTGGGTTTCTGGACTAACAGATTACAAACACGTTGCAATCATTTGTTTTCCATGCTGCTCAAGAACAAATCTTGATTTTTGAATCAAACCAAATCATAACAAAATTTTACAAAAACTAATCAACCTCACTCATCTTCAGAGCTCTGGGCCCTCTTCTCCTTCAGTCCTCACCTCTGCTGGGACCCCTGGATCCGACAAAAGTGACACTCCAAAAAGATTCAACTACAAGGTAAAATTATGTATGTATGTATGAATATATATATATATGTATGAATATATATATATATGTATGAATATATATATATATATATATATATATATATATATCCTCAATAAGAATGCATGGCAGACTTTATTCCATAAGATGTTTCATCAACAACATGGTTTCTTTAGCTTAAGAGTCTTATAGAAATTATTTTATATAATTATTAAAATATTCTATAAGCCCCAAAGTTGCAGCAAATGCCATTGACCGTGTATCAGTAGTAATGCAGTAGGAATAAGGAGACTCGCAGTATCCATAGAAAGAATACAGCATATTATCTAGTAACTTAAATATATACAGTATATTAAAAAGGCTTGAATACAAGATAAGGTATGATACAGTTGTAAGTTGGTTGAATCTCAATATAGTTAGACAAAATAATCTGACAAATGAATAGGTTAACCCTAACAATATAATTTATATAAAAATATATACATTTTAGGTAAATAAAAATAGGTTTGTGCAATAAGTCCTCAGGTGTAAATGTTGATTGAAAACATGCAAAGATGACAAATATGCAACATTCTTAAATATCAACTCCAGAGGGTGACATTTTGTTGATGATTGTCTTGTGATTTATATTACAGTTGAAGCTCATGTGCCAATTAGCTAAATACTTGCCTTCAACCTTCATCCCCTTTTCCCTCCTTCTCTCACCTTCTACTCTCTTTCCTTGACCATCTTTTTCCTTTGGTCTCCTCCCACTCCTCTTTCCCGCCACTCCTCCTTTTTCCTCATTTCAAAAGGACGATGAGGTTAAAGGAACGACAATGAGAGAGGAGGTCGAAAAGCTCCATGAGGAGAGAAACATGTTGCTGGAGACAATCGAAGACTTGAAGCATTCCGTGGAGCAGAAGTTGACGGGTCCCGAACTGGAAACAAAGGTGACTATATTTATATTACAGATGAGCAGATTTAAAAAATGGATGTTGTGACTTGAACAGTCTACAAGTAAATGATGTCAGACTTTTAGTTTGAAAAGTAGAGCACATGCGTTGAATATAATTATTGGTGAATAAACCTTTCGTATCTTTTACCCGAACCAACTAAAATGTCTTTTTATTTTGATTAAGAGAATTGAAAAAACTTTTGGGCTAGATATAGATATTTTTCTTGGTGGCTATTTTGATACATTCTTAGCTTTTTGTCCACTAAAAGTCTTTCTGGTAGTTAAACCTTGAATCAACATTGCTTTTGTGAGTGTAATACTATACTCTGACAACAGACAGCTGTGTACTGCTGAACCTTTTCACTTTGGGCATTCTTGGAGGAGGTCTAACCTAATCTTTAGACGTGTCAAAACTCGTTTTTGTTTTTCAGTAGGTAGCTAGTGGTCCTTAACGTTGCTTTTCCGTCTCTGTGTGCCTCTACATGTGAATGTATGTGTGTACGTGTTGACAGGTCGAGCACGGTTTTACAGCATCGGCAACTCTGGTTTGTGCTCTGAAAGCCAAGATTACTGCTCTAACTGTGGAGAATCAGCAACTTGCAGGCAAACTTAAGGTATGTAACTTCTTCAGTCACGCTCATGACTTGACCATAAACCAATGAATGAACACACTCGAGGTAAGGGCAGTACGCTGTATATAAGAACCTAAACTATAGCAAACCGTTCACACAATGCTTTTTACAATATAAAAAGTTCTGTTTTATCTGGAATATAACAAGGCAATGTAAAAAAATAAAAAATACAAGCAAAACAAACTAGGTACACATATTTTCAAGTCTCTCTCACTTAGAACAATACTCGCATGTTCATATGTACATTTACAGACTTATTGGTCATCCCTCATGTCCACACTGGCTTTGAAGAGATCTTCTTCTAATGCTATTCCAATGTAAGTGATGAGGGAGAAAATCAACAGTCCTCCTGGAGAAAAATAGAATTAAAGTTTAAAATATAAACTAAAGTTAATGAGGCTTCAGTAGTGTGAGTTAGCCACATTGATGGGGTACAAAACGTAAACATTATTTTCTTGATTAATCACCTATAAAATGTCAGAAAATAGTGGAAAAAGTTGAATATTTCCCACAACCCAAAGGGATCTATTCAGATGGCTTGTTTTATTCAACATGTTCTGTTTAATATCATATCCTTTTCTCATTTATATTTGAAATACAGGAAATTACTTTTTAATAGTCCTATTTTGATTATCGATTAATGATTCAAATCATTAATTTGAGCAGAAATGTCAAACTGAATGTGAGCATTTGCTGCTTTTCTTGGTCTTGGTTCCCCTCCATGTAATGACAGGCATACAACTGTAACTCATACTGCGCTTGATTTGTGAGATTTAAATGTTTTCAATCCCTCACCTCACAGAAACATCCGTCCGTCCAAGTAAGCGAAGACCTGAAGGACGACAGTCGTCCAAACAGCATGGCTTCCAACTCCTCCTTCCACTCCACCCAGGATGAGTTTGATCTACTGCCACAAGTGGAACGGGAAGACGGTTCAGGCGGTGTTTCTGTCAGACGAGAGGAAGAAGAGGGTGAAGGAGGGAGAGGAGGGAGCAAAGAGGAGATCAGACTGTTGAGACTGGCGCTAGAGAGCATTCAAGTGAAACTACTAGAAACCAGGAAGGAGAACCGCTCGCTTCATGCCCAGCTGAAACCTGAGCGAGGCAGAGAAGGAGAAGAGGATGAAAGCGTGACGGAGAAAGGAAGAGAGGAAGAGTTGATGGAGAGTCTCGCGGAGCTTCAGGCAAAGCTGACTGACGCTCAAGAGAGATACCACCAAGCTGTGGAGGAGGTGGAGGATTTGAGGGTGCAGATGGGAAGGGGAGGAGGTGAGCCAGTGGAGACACAGGAGGTCCAGAGACGTAGATCATCCACACTTGAACATGAAGTAAAACAGCTGAGGGGCCTGCTCGTCCAATCGGGATCTGAGCAGGAGGACGCAGCTCAACGCATCCGACAGCTGGAGGAAGCCCTGAGGAGGGTGGAGGAGGAAAGATGGAGCGCAAAGGAGAAGGAACAGAGGGCTGCTCAGATTGAGGAGCTGTACAAGGAGGCACAAGAGGAGATTAGGATGCTCCAGGTGAATATGGGCCTCTTTTTCTCTCTGAACTTCTGTCTGACTGAAAAGGGGAACTCCATCGATTTTGTACCTCAAAGTCTGTTTACGGATCTCGGGGAATACTACTGAAAAAGTAGCAATAAAGTTTTACAAAGTCCATACTGTCCATTGTGAGTGCACCACTAAATTGGTGGAGTACTCTTTGAATGTATAAAAAAGCCCAGATGATATTGCTTAAACATTGATTTATCTCTATTCATTATCTTTCAATTATTTATTGTATTCTACTTGCTGTGCATCACTTACTTTTTGAAATCAATAACATGTTTCCTTTTGTTATTTAGGAGGCTCTGAGGGGCACGGTGCCAGTTGAAGCAGCAGCCAAAGACTTTGAAGAACTGAAGGCCGAGCTAAATGAGGTCATCGCTGGGCTGCAGCGCCGCTTGCTGGAACTCTCGCACTCCTTCAGCGAAACCAAAAGTCAGCTAAGTGCTGCACAGAAACAGCTGGCTGAGAGCAGTGCAGCCTCATCTCCCTCCTCGGAACAACAGCAGCAGGTCCAGGTGCTGAACAGCAAGGTGGAGGAGCTGCACACGTTGCTCGCTGAGACGGGGAAGAAGCACTCGGCCGCTCAGGAGGAGATTTCACTGCTGAAGCAGGAAGCAGAAGCTCAGGCACAGAGCTCCGTGGCCCTCGCCGACCACACGCAGGTGATGTCATCGCTGGGAAACGCCATCAAAGAGTTGGAAAGCCAGTCGGAGACGCTGAAAGAGCAGCTACACCAGAAAATCTTGCAGGTGGAGGCTCTTCAGAACAGGTGAGGAAGAAAACTTACGTCACATGTTGATATATCTTTTTACGCTTATACTTGAGACTACAGCTTGAAGTGGAGGTGGGGCTTATGAAATGGTATATGAGCAATCAAAAAAGAAGTGGAGGGATGTAACTAAGTACATTTAGTTTTAACACTCTACAATTTTGAGATACTTGAGTATTTGCATTTTATGCTACATTATACTTCTCCACTACATTTCAGAGGAAAATATTGTACTTTATACTCCATAACTAGTTCACAATCCAGTGTGTGGGGGCTAAAAGGTGATTTATATGAAGATTGTCTCTCCTACTGGAGTGATCAGGGTCACCATGACTTACTCGTGTCTGTTTCACAAAAGGCTGACAGCAGAGAAAGATGTTACCCCCGATGATTCTGTCTCCCGCGCTGAGCACGAGAACACTCAAGAGCAGCTTGAGGGCAAGGTGAACCACCTGACGCAGCTCCTCCAGGGGGCCCTCAGAAAGCAGGACGAGATGGCTCTGGAGGCTGCTGATGCATGGCAGAAGGTGAGAAGTAAAAAAATAAAAACGTGGATGGATTATTATCTTTCCATACTATGTATTTATTAAAACATACCTATCCACACTCGTACCCATCAGGCACGGGATAATCGTGCAGAGTGGGAGGCTCTGCAGGAGCTGGTGATGTCGAGGGAGAAGGAGAACCAGTCGCTGACCACCAGGCTGGCTGAGTCCCAGGATGCCGTGTGTCAGCTCAAACAGCTGGTGGAGAACCACGTTGCCTCAGAGAGAGAAAAAAACAAGAGGGTAGGTGCTGCTGCGGAGGTACCATCACTATTGCACCACTTGACATTTCAGTAGCGTCTGTCCAGCACTGTACTATAGAAACATGATTTAGAAATTGGTGAGTCGACCTAAACTTGGGACAGTCTTCTCAGGACCTTGTTTTTTCCCGTGACCACAAACATTCTACAAAGTTCATTGTTTCATTAACCGCATGCTTTATGTTTTTCCCTATCAGATAGATGACCTGTCGCGGGAGGTGGGGAAGCTGAAGGATGCCTTAAACAGCCTATCGCAGCTCTCCTACAGCTCCGGTTCTCCCTCCAAGAGACAGCAGCAAAACCAGCAGCTAAGCCAGCAGCTGGAGACGACGCAGCAACAGATCAAACAACTACAGTACCAGCTAGCTGTAAGATTTGGTCAACATATAGTTTCAATAGAACACACAGTAATCACCATTTTGAAAGAGCGCACTGTAACTTTGAATTCTGAAATGTACCGGTGACAAATGTGTGTATTTACCTGATGTTTTTCTTTGCAGGAGTCAAAGAAGCAGCACAATGATATAGTGTCAGTCTACAGGATGCACCTCCTCTATGCTGTCCAGGTATATCCATCCGTTAGTTTTTAACTCCAATTTTAAAAGGAATGGTTCACCTTTCTATAAGCTCATATGCAACACGTCATTTCCATCCTCTTGTATCACATTGGAGATAACCACATGGTTATGTAGAGTATAAATATATATTATTTCTCACTTACCAGTTGTGGTATCTAGCCATGGACATAGTTTTGAAATAAAACGTCTGCCTCCATCCCAATATGATGACTACACTCACAAGAGAGAGAAATTCATTTTATAACATTTTACAGCATATCTGATAGAAAGTAGTTCCACTGAAACCTTCGTAATTTGAGTTTTACTTATGGTGTATTTATTAGTTAGTTAACTGAACCGGTGCTGTGTGCTTTCAGGGTCAGATGGACGAGGATGTCCAGAAAGCCTTGAAACAGATCCTGATGATGTGCAAGATGCCAAGCCAAGCCAAGGAGGCCTGCTAAGACACGCTGGGCCTGGCTTCCCGAAAGCACGTTGTGGACGAAAGTGAAGTGAACTGCTGGACCGTCACCACATGTCCTCCCGTCCGAATGCACACGTTGCTTGTGCTGATTGCAAGACAGGCCAACACATGGTGCCTCTGGATAAACCTTGAGTATTTGTTACTGGGGAACAGGTTTACAACCATGTTCATTGCCTTCGCAAATGTCTTTTTTGACTGACTAATATCATCAATCTTATGATGGGGAAACCCCAGCCCAGCATAAAGACACTGTACATCAGCCAATTGACCATTCAAGTGAATGAGAGAACCAAGTGGTTCCAGCCAAACGTTTAATCTCAGTATGTGCATATTAACACTACACTATCCATGTGCAGTAACCTTAAGTCACATGCAGTTGGATAAGCGTGATAATGCAAACATGTGTGTACTCTGACATAAAACATACATATACCATGTATGTGCGTACTAATCAGTCCACTGAAAACAGTAAGTTTCATGTGGTTTGTTTTTGTTACAATGTGCGCTTAGAGGAATAAAAGACTCACTTGGCACTGCTGTTGGTAGTATCCGTTTTATGATACAACAGTGTTAGTATTATTTGACTTGTTGTCTAAAGGTTTCATGGTTGTCAACATTTTCCTGATGCAGTGTAAATTATTTGTGCCCTCTTAATGCATGTGACTTTGCTTAACGCCAGCCCAAAAATCACAAAGAAATGTTATTTTTTGGCTGCACTTCGATGAAGAAAAAGCATGATACCGTTTGTATTGCTATTTTCGTATTAGCACAAAATTTATAAAAATGTACTTTACTGAAATGTATTACATGCCATGTTTTCTAAAATACTGTACTGTATTGAGGAGGTTCGATAGCTGTATTTTTGATGGCCTTTGTTTTGTGTGAATGAAATTAATTTTCCTTGAGTATAACAACGCACCAATTTGTCTAGTGACACCTGAATTAGTCTATTTTCCTGTTTTCATTCATATTTTACATATAACGGGTTGAACATGATTGTCAACTGTAATCAGAAAACATTTCAGTAGTAACAAATGTCCAACAGTAGGGGCAAACTTTTTTTGTCTTTTTGACTGAAAGGGAGAGTTCCTCTCTTGTCTAATCTTACACTTTGGCCTTTTGTTCAGCAATTCCTTACTTGAAAATCAGGCAAAATGTGTTGGCTGACAGCAAATGGTTGAGTCTGCTGTCAGGTGCCTGGAATCAGACGAGCATTTTTCTGGCTCTGCAGTAATTTCAACTGACAATTACCTTAAATATCAGTAATTCTCAATTGTGATAGATGCCAATTTCACCAGGCTTCCTTATTAATTTATTAACATTTACCAGGAATGTTTTCCGTCTTCCTATTTGTGAGACTCCCATCTCTTTCAGTGTTTCTTTGTAGGTACGGATTTACACTGTACAGAATACATTTTAAATGCATTTCTTTGAACGTGTCTTCTAGGGGCTTCTGAACTGTTTTCACATCACACTCCTTTGCCTCAGTACTGTACTTAGAGCCATACGCACTTAGAGATCATCCTTCTTCTGAACAGTGTGTAAGACTATTGAGAACACACTCTCGACACTAATGCTGTTCAACTTTAGTCACATTAAATTCTTTTGTGTATGACTGACTGAAACTCCCAGCCTCGTTTCTCACTCAGGAACCTTTTTTTTTTTTTTTTAATAAACTGGAGGTGATTTACACCTGACTGAGATTTCTTAGAACCCGAGTTGAGCTTTTGCTTCATTTCATAGGTTGTTGAATATCATAAACTACGTAACTCTCTCTCTAGGCCTTAAAAGGGAAAATAAATAAACTTCTTTGTTGGTTGTTTTTGAATTGACATGAAAAAAATGACTTGTTTGCCAACTGCTTTGTTGCCCGCATTAATACATTTGCAAGAACCTGTACCAGTGTGTCCGTTTTGTTTCCCATCTCTTATATATCAAGACGTGTAAAAAAATAACTCATTTTTAAGAGGGCTAACTACTTAATTTAAAACATTTATAGCATTTTATCATACCCTGGTTGAAATGAAAACGTTCTGTCATTGTCATGCATACAACTACAGTCCGTCCAGCACACATGCGTTAACAAGCCGCCACAGATTAACAAATCAGATTCAGAATGCCACACACACCCCTTCCTGATTCCTTCTCTTTGCATAAACTGTTTTAGATCTAAGATTGAATATAAGACACAGGCAACCTGAATAAACACAAAATATTGTTTTTTAAAGATTTCAATTATTAAAAGGAAGAAAAGTAACCCAACACCTATCTCACCCATGTGAAAAAGTAATTCCCACCTTAAGCAGCAACAACTGCAACCAAACTCTTCCATTAACCAGAGATCCGTCTTTCACATGGCTGTGGAGGAATTTTGGCAAACTTTTCTTTGCAGAATTGCTTTAATTCAGCCCCATTAGAGGGTTTTCATGCATGAAGCGCCCGTTTAAGTTCCTGCCACAGCATCTCGGCTGGTTTCAAGTTTTGATAGGGCCACTCCAACCTTCACTTTGTTTATTTGAGCCATGCAGAGGTGGACTTGCGCTTGTGTTTCCGTCAATTATGGCAGGTTGACCAGGTCCTGAAGCAGCAAAGCATCCCCACACCATCGCAAGGCCTGCAGCTCCTGAATTGTTTTGCCTGGGTTCTTTTGTGACTTCCTGTCGTCAATGTACTCCTAGAGAATTTTTTTTGTGGGCCGCCCACTCCTGGGAAGATTCACCACCGTTCTAATTTTTCTCCATTTCTAGATAATGACTCTCATTGTGGTTCACTGGAGTCCCACAGCCTTGGAAATTGCTTTGTAACCCTTTCCAGACCGATATATTTCTTTTGATCGTGTCATAGTGTGCTGCACGCTTAGATCTTTTAGCTAGCTTCCCACTGCTGGATAGGATCTATATAAGTGAAATTTAGATGCAGTATAAGCGTGTTTTCAATTTAATTTAATCCATTGGTTGAATGAGTAACGAAGAGGACAATTACTTTCTTACAGGAGGTGTTGGATTACTTTTAGAAACTGTATTTTGTGTTTACACAGGTTGTCTTTGTATGATAATCAATTCTGTGTAAAAATCTGAAACAGTTCAGTGTGACACATATGCAAAAATAGAAGAAATCAGGGAGGGGACAAAGAATTTTGTATACATTTTCAAACAACGCACACTGCCTTCTTTTCCAAGCTTCTGACACAAAGACATCCAATTGAAACACATCCAAACTAAGCAGCTATTACGCTTATATCATAAATGTATGTCCGTCTAACACAAAATAAAATGGGACACACTTCTCCCAGCTCACACAACCTATTTCTTCCTGAATATGTTTTAATATGCCACACTCAATGACCACAGGCCCAATACCAGTTCTCAGCTCGGCAACTATAAAGACCTTTGGCTTCTAGATAAAGAGATACAACAAATGATTCAGTGCTTCAGTCAGATGGAGATGTTGGGCCCATTACATGTTCGCTTTCATTAAACCTTTGCTAACAAAGACAGAAGCTGTTACTCAATTAGCTCGAAATGCGCCACAATGTTTCCTTGTTCATTATAGAGTCAAATCAGAAACTTATATGTGGCAAGTGTTTGGTGAAGTGCAAGGACACTGTAAGACTGAACAGGTGGTATATGACCACTAGATGGCAGCCTTTGCCAAATTTGGATCGCTTATCTCATATTTATTGTCACAATATCAGAGAAGGTGTTGCCACTGAAAATCTGAGATAACAGGCTGCCTTCAACAATGCTCATTGTATATAAAAAATAAAATCACACAAGTGTGAATACAATATGTATATATATATATATCTATATAGAGATATTTTTTTTTATATACAAAGAGAAATATATATATCTACATGTTATCTCAGA